AACAATATTCACCCACATTAAAAAATGCCCTGCAAAATGGTTATTTGTTCATTCTTCAGCACTGGAGCATCTTCTCTGAGTTGCCTTAGAAATAATGCAGAGATAATTCTTGGTATATAGCTGCTCTTTACACAGGAACACTTAAAACTGTGCTTAATTTAAATGCTGCTCATCATAAAGTAAACAGGTCCAAATATATTCACAACATAGTTTGTTAATTCCATTGTACATATACATTTAAAATCATAGTTACTAAATAATACAAATTATTAGGTTTATCCTGAGCTGGCTGGTTAACTCACTTGGGAGCGTGTGGTGCTTGTAACACCAAGGTAAAGAGTTTGTATCCCTATACCAGCCAGCCACACACACAAAAAAAATCCATTTTAAAGCAGTTTTTCTATAAATGTATTAAAATATATATATTTAGAAACACTGCTTTTCTCCAATCTGTTTCATATAACAATTTTATCTGAACTCTTAACATGCAACTTTGATATCAGCATCACTATCACCTGAACTGCTTTTGAGTCATCCAGTAGTTTTCTGGAGCCATCAGGAGTATTTCTGTTTAAGTTATTTAGTACACAGAATTTTTTTATTCCTTACATTGTGTCTACCCAAACACAATAATTCCTTTTTTTAATTTTTACAGCAGTTTTAGTTTTACGAGAAATTGAGCAGAAAGTAGAGACAGTTCCCATACCCTCCCCCACCCACATAGTTTCTCCTATTATTGACATGTTATATTAGTGTGGTACATTTGTCACAATTACTAATCAATATTAATACATTATTAACTCAATTTTAATTAGGGTTCCCTCTTTGTATTGTACAGTTCTATAGGCTTTGCCTAATGCACAATGACATGCATAAACACTACAGTATCATACAGAATAGTTCTGCTGCCCTAAAAATCCTGTGCTCCGCCTATTCATTCCTCACTCCCTCCCTCCCTCATTCCCTGAAATCCTGGAAATCACGTTTTTTGTTTTTTTTTCCCCATTACCTCAAACACTGATCATTTCTCTGTGCTGGAAACATTCCAAATACTCTCTTCTAAATGAAACTGTACAATAAATTGTTGTTAATTATAGTTACCTACAGTGCTGTAGGACACTAGACACTATTCTTCCTATCTAGGTGTACTTTTGTATCCATTAACTAACCTCTCACTATCCCTCCCTCCCTCTTCCCCTTTCCAGGCAAAGGCACAATAATTTCTTTGCATAACACTGAGAGAGCTTTTTTCACTGGACCTCTAGATGTACACTCATGATGTCCAAACTTATCCTACAAAGTAATCTTTAAGAGGTTTGCTTATATCAACAAGATGTTAGGCTGCACCCCCAAAGACAATTACTAAATTTATGTTAAACTTATTAATCCATTTAACTAAGTCTAACGTGTGATCTCTATAGAAAAATTACCTGGATGTCCAAACTTATCCTACAAAGTAATCTTTAAGAGGTTTGCTTATATCAACAAGATGTTAGGCTGCACCCCCAAAGACAATTACTAAATTTGTGTTAAACTTATTAATCCATTTAACTAAGTCTAACGTGTGATCTCTATAGAAAAATTACCTGACTTAGGTTATTTCAGGCTTATGTGAGGGTCCCAAACAACACTTTGCTGATCAAAATAAAAAATAGTGTACTCCATGACATGAGAGACTCTATAAAGATTTTAACTTAAGGAAACTCCCACTTTAGGGAGAAAAAAATTCCCACCTTGCAGTTAGGTATACTAAGCATTTAGTTTCTTCGTCTTCCACAAAAGTCATTTAAAATATAATGGCACAGTTACCTTTAACCCTCTTGCCATGTTCAAAGCAACTTTTAAAATTACGGCTGCTGGAAAAGGATCTTGGCTGTCTTTATTTCGTTCTTCTATTAAGTCATTTAGAGACTTTTCACCTCCATATTCCATAGCAAGACACAGACTACCATCACTGGCTTCAGTAAAAGCACGATAACCTTAAAGAAAATATGATTTTCTTTATTAGAACAGGAAAGAACAATACTATTTAAGTTTTTTACAGTAATGTGACTGAAAGCATGGATCTGGACTAACACTGACAAATATACAATGAAACAGCTATTATTTACAGAACTAATCCGGTAGATCTAATTTAAAATGCGTTCAGTGTTTGCCAATAGTACCATAGATTAAAATATTTTACTATTCTATGCTTCCCTAAATATAATAGTTTCACCAGCTCTGCTTGTATTAAAAATGCAAAAGGAAAACCAGCAAATTACCTAAATGGGTCTAAATTATCTAAAAAAAATCATTTTATATTCCTAAAATCTCCACAGTACCAGCCCCACAATGATTGTATCTAGTCCCATGAAGTTTAAGCATGTAAAACTTAAGCATGTAAAACTACTATATACTAATTTTTATTTTAGATTGTTCCCATTAATTTGATTCTGACAACCTCCAGTCCCATCCTCTTCATTTTTATTGGTGAAACCAGTTAATACAGTATACGAACTGCTTCTGGATAAAAAGAATAATATTATACCAGACACTGCTACCAAATAAATTTAAACTTACCTATGATGTTTGGATGATGAAGGCTTTTCAAAATCTTAGCTTCATCCGTTAGTCTCTTTTGATACATACTTCGATAATGATCATTACATATGGGATTAATCTTTTTCACAGCCCAAGGAGAATGAGATAAACCTCTTGGAGATCTAAAGAAAAAAATTATTAATAAAAAAGTATAGGAAAGAATAAAAACCACAATATATTTTCAAATGACTAAGAACTTCCTAATTTTGAAAAGGATTTATAGTAATTTATTGTTCTAAAAAAGCAATATTTAGCATATTTTGGATTATTAACACTTCTGCTATATTTCCATTCAAGTAGGAGATAAGTCTGATATCTATACACTGGAAGGAAGGGGATAAAAAGAGAGAAGGACAAGGATAGAATATTATAAATTTTAAATTTGAAAATTACTATATTATTTTCTAATTTTACCATTCAAGCATGTCAGACTATCAACTACTTATCAAACATTTAACTCAAACTCTTAACTATGTGTACCAGAAATGGAGTTATAGGATGTTAAACTAATATGCATTAATCTTAATTTAATTTAAAGAGGAGATGCTCAAAAACATTTGGCCCTGTCTACGGCCATACCACTCTGAATATGCCTGATCTCCTCAAAAACATTTTGCCCATATATATCAAGAATAGCATGTTCTTCACCAGCAAATATCGTACCTCTGCACTGACCAATTCACCTTATACTTTTCACCACATGCTCAAAGGCATGTGCTTAAGGAGATAATAATAAACATACAAATGGAGATAATTGGGCCGGCCCGGTGGCGCACTCCTACAGTGCGCCGGGCGCTCCCGCCGAGGGTTCGGATCCCACATACAGACCGGTTCCCGCTCACTGGCTGAGC